TATACTAGGGATTGCCCACACGTTGCGTGGGGTTTAAAAATTAACATTAATGATGTTTAGTTATTGATTATTTTTGTATTTAATATTATATAAATTTGGTATTTATAGTAAATAATTATCTAAGTTAGAAGATTAAGTATTTGTAGCAAATTGGACATATACAATATTATATATGAAAAGAAATAAACCGTTCATTTATAAAATTTACAACATATGGAAGACATCTTCTTTGGCATAAATCTTTAACTTGTATGCCTGAATCAATATTCACTACGGTTTCCTAAAAAATGATTGGTCATTTTTTTTACATCAAATACGTCTGTAAAAAATTATTGATCAGACAAATTGTAGTTAGTTTTGTTTCTATCAAGACATCTACATTATCTCAACATAGGTGTTGGAATACATCTTTTATTTATTTCATTAGAACTTTGAATCATAAAGAGATATAATTGATGTTTGATTATATTTTTGTCTCACTCAATTTATCGCTTTGCTGTGATTTTTATCTTTCATATCAATTCATTGCTGAAGTGATTTTGTTTTTTTTGATTTACAATTTGTGGTGGAGTAAAGTTTTCTTTCGAGAGTCTTGCTTAGAAATTGTTTCAAATTGTTTCGAACACAAATTGTCCAAGGACCGATGATCACATGATGGATTTCTATCCGTTTGAAAGAATTCTTCGTGGTGATGTGGATGTCAATTACCCTATTGGTATATTTCCTATGATTCCAAATTTTTTTGTTTTTTCTCTTCATTTTCAGTATATTTACTTGCATATAATCACCAAAAATATCCACAATCGGCATTTCACTATTATTATTGCTAGACTTTATTGGAGTTGTTGTACACGTTGGAGAGCTTGAAGAAGTTGTTGTACCCTATTGGTATATTTCGTACGAAGAAATTTTTGGTGACAAAATTATGAGAATTGAGTTCGAAATCAGAAACTTTAAGTACATATAAAGAAGAAGAAATAAGAGAAATTTAAAAAAATGCTACTAAAAAATGCTATTTTTTCAAAATTATTATTTTTTTATATTATTTATGTTTGAGTTAATTATGTTCTATTAGGGTTTAGTTTTGAGTGTTTAAAAAGTTTTAGGTGTCGAAACATTTTTTAAGGTTTAGAATTTTAAAATATAGACTTTATAAATCTATAATTAGTGGCACTTTTGTAAATGGACACTCCCTAAATGACATTTTTGCAAATGTACACACACAAAATGGTATTTTTGTAATTACTCCAAAGAAATATCATTTTTTTTTAGTTTTTATTTGGTAATGTTAATGTAGCATTTATTCTTAATACAATGTGTAGTGACATTGATCTCAAGTGTGTAGCGTATGGAAAAAGGGCTATTGACTTCGAAGATATATGGAACCAAAGTGGCGAGTATACATCCGTTTTGGTGCTCCGATTCTGGCGTGTAATGAAATTCACAAACGGTTAGATAACATTAATTTCGTTTACAGTTATAGAAAATCCACTTGTTAGCATCCTATTATATACAGTAGGTAAATACCCGCCTATAGTTTTAGTTAAGAAAAATAAATTGTAGTTATTAGAGAAATTATTATACAAAACCTAAATAATTAAAAAAATCGTTATTATTAGTACGACAACATTTTTGTAAGCAAACGTTACTTCAATTGAATTGTTTCAAATTGTCCAATAACATTTTTCAATTGAGCGTCATATAACATTTTTGCTACAAATTTTCCAACACAAATTGTTTCAATTGCATTAGAGGATAATTGGTAAATTGACTTTAAAAACTATGAAAATATTTAAAAAAACGTTTAAATTCTAAATTTTTTCCAACCAAACTTATTGGATTTAACAGCCCTAAAAATCTTAAAATCATTCTATGCATAAATTTATATAAAAATTATATTATATAAGATTGTTAGATTTGATAAATAAAATATAAAAAATAGATAAATGTACACAAAATACTTAATTGTAATTTGTTAGAATTAATTTACCTAAGAATTAGCTATTTAATTGTTAGAATTAATTGTTAAAACTATTAAAAGGCCATGTTTTTTTTTTTCAATAAATAAATTAAAAAGATAAATTTTTAAAAAATTAGATGACATATGATTTATTGAATTTTGATATATATGGGCCTAAATTGGGCTTACGAAAATACGGTTCATGTAAACCAGAAAATAATAAAGTGTTTATAGTATTAATTCAGTCTCGTCTTCTTAGATTTTGAGGCATTCTCGTCGTTTGGGTGAATTGTTAGGGTTTATCGAACGAAAGGAAGAAAGCGGAGCTCTAACACTAATCGATTCTCATGGCGGACGAAGATTACAACGAAGTCGATGACTTGGGGTATTCTCTCCCTCTATCTCTCTCTTGATTTCTTATCTCTGTATTAGTTTTTTTGCTTCGTTTCAAGGATTCTACTTTCTTCTCGACGAATTGAGAGCAAGTGGATTGATTATTTTCTGGATTGAAAGTTTCTCCATTGTCTTCTTCGTTGAATTTTTGCTTCAATTGATAAAACAGAGAGTATTGATTCTAATCGATTTTTAGGTTAAAAAAACCCTAATTTCGTTGTCGGTTGATTTAGAAAGAGCTGTTTTTGCGACCCTTAATTTTTTTCTTTTCTTTTCTTAAGCTCTTATTTAAATGCGAAAATGTTTCAATTTATAATGTTTCGTTACAAAAGAGAAAGTTTACAGTTTGCTGGTTTATATAACGTTCCTTGAATATTCATTCATCAAACATTTTCTTTACTTGTAAGTTGTATTTATGTTTTTCCTTCTACATGAACTTTGATGAAACATGTGAGTGAATTGAAGCTGTTTTGTTGCTATGGTTCAAAAATTGTTGATGTTTGCTTCAATTGATTTTCCTGCAGTTATGAGGATGAGCCAGTGGAGCCTGAGATAGAAGTAAGTTTAGTCTTCTTCTTTGTAGAAAAGACATGGATATTGCTTATTACAATTTGCTAGTTTCTGATATAGTTTTTTGTTTTATGAGTAGGAAGGAGTGGAGGAAGATGTTGATATGAAGGAGAACGAGGATATCAATGGTGAACCTCTTGAAACAGAAGATAAGGTTGAGACTGAAGCCATACAACGTCCGCGTAAAACCTCAAAGTTTATGACAAAGTATGAACGTGCTCGTATCCTTGGAACTCGTGCTCTGCAAATCAGGTCTGGTTCTGCGCTTTTGGGTTGCTATTTGCTTCATGTCTCGCAAGTATATTTCCTCATCTTATATCTTAAGTTTGTTAAGAACTATCATCATTATTACAAAACTTGGTAAGAGTACTTAATTCTTTCGTTAAGTTGATACTGTTACTGGCACTCACTTATCCTTTCATCTTATATCTTAAGTTTGTTAAGAATGTATCAACTTTCGGTTACCAAAATAAAAGAGAATTTGTCATCTGTTATAGAACTTGATGAGGGTACTGAATTGAATTAAAAACAATCTTTTGTTCTGTTTTAAATAATCTTTTTGCTGACTCACAAGGTTTGATTATTTTTGTTTTTGCAAAAGAGATATATCTTGAGTTTGTGTGTCAAAACTTGATGAGGGTACTCAATTCAAATGAGAATTATCTTTGTTTTTATTTTAATTAGCCGCTAAATTGACTCAAAAAGTTTGATTCTTTCTACTGTTTTTGGCTGATACAGCATGAATGCTCCTGTCATGGTCGAGCTAGAGGGCGAGACAGACCCACTTGAGGTGCTACTACTTTACTTACACTTATCATTTCTTCTTGTTCTTTCTGGATATTTGAGCTAACTTATGATCTTGGCCTAAAGATTGCAATGAAGGAGCTTAGGCAAAGGAAGATACCTTTCACTATCAGACGCTACCTACCTGATGGGAGGTGAGTTTCTGTTAGTCATATCAAATTTCTCAGCATATTTTGGTGTATTTATTGATTCGCTTTACTCAGTTTTGCCTTGTTCATTTTGGTTGTCTTTTTATGAATCAGTTTTGAGGAATGGGGAGTTGATGAATTGATCGTTGAAGACTCGTGGAAACGTCAAGTCGGTGGTGATTGATATAATTCATCTCCCGCTCCTTTTTACTATCTCGTATGGATGATCAAGTTTCCTAAATGTCAGACATTTTAATGGAACTTATGTATAAAAGCCGGTCGGTTTTAGTCTTTGGTTTTACGCTCAGAACAATGTCATCAAGTAAGACCGAAAAGAAGCTTTTTGTTACTAACATTCCATATGATATGAAACTCCTTTCTGAATCTCTTACGCCTAATGTCTCTGAAACAGACCATTCTCCCACCTTTTTGTGTGGTTGCCGAATTGCTGAGTGCCTAACATCAACATTGGAAACATTAAAGAAATCTATTTACTAAAAATGCCATAAAAATATAATGTAAAAGTAGAACTGCGTTAACTGGAAAAACGTGATGAACAATTGAATTATTTGTTGCATAAACTAAGGTTGTAGGAAGAGCTAGCCATATCGTTTGGCGAAGCAAAGTACTTGTGTTAATATGATTCTTCATTCACTTCACATACTCATTGTGTAGCTGTTACTATTCGATCTCATATACTTTGTTCATGATACAAATAGAGTGACTTTTTTCGTGTGGTTATTGTGTTTCATAAGCCTATGAATATGCTTTAAAATCTCTTTGGATTCTTATCAGACATTCAGACGTCAATGTTTGTAGTGGTTATGGGTAAGGTTGAATGGAGAGATGTTATGTTTGATGGGAAAATCTTACTTTCTTATTTTCTACTTAGATCATGTCATTTGGCTTTGCGGAAAAGAAAATTAATCTGCCGAAAAAAAAAAATTAATCTGCGAAATACTTTATTTTCTGTATAATAAAAATTTGCGGAATGAAATTATTGCGCGATTGGATAGATTTGGTGGAACGGCAGAAACCAAAATTTTTATAAATGAACTTTTACTTAGGTGTTATTTGATATATCATAAAAGACTATTGTAAATGTAAAATTTAAACAAAAACCATGGTAATAAACTTTTAAATATTATAAAAAAGATTATAATTTACTTATTTATGAAAACATGCATGCATTCATAATAATACATATAAAAAATTTATGATGTTGTGTAGCTCAGATCATAGATGGAATCTCAATTCTAATAATTTATGATCAAACGATTAGTTAGTGTGGTCATTACTTTTAATTTGTGGTCGAAAGATTATTATTATTGTCATTAATTTCAATTGCTTTTCCACCAAAAAACTAGTATAATCCACTTATTTGCTTAATGAAGATTTCTTTGTCTTTTTTTTTTTCAGTCAAAACGCAAATTCTACGTTTTTTTGAATATTTCACATTTTTTTTTAATCGGCAAAAACCTACGGAATCGCGTTTTTCTCTATTTCGTAATTACACAGTGTTTACCATTCAAAGCCCATATTTATTCAATGATTTGTTTGTGGATAATATATATTTAGGAAACTTAATAAATTTATGTTTGAATTTGGCATGAATAATATGATTAGAGATCTAATCATAATAAAAAAAAATAGCAGTGTCCGATCTGTCATGCATAAAAAAATTTAAAACTAATAAAAAATACAATACTAATTATTAAGCTAAAATAATTTATAAAAAATTGTATCCGCGTATAACATGGACGAGTATAAATTTGTAAAAGTATAATTAGAGTA